ATTTCTGTGTATTGCAGTTACAATAATATGCATGTTATCAGATAACAATAATATCTATTTTTTAATATTAATTTTTATTTTTCTTATATAATTCAAAAGAAATAAAGGATACTTGTMACAGACTGTTGATTTCCATCAGTTAAATAGACTTCGGAGACATTGCAACTTGCAGCTAGCTGTAAAAGTTGCATAATTACAATACATTATATTATTTWATATACCATTAAGATATTGAAATTCTGTCATTTAAAGTGACTTGCTTTGAGTCCTGCCCATTAATCTTCATCACAGTRATCCCAAGYAGAGTACAAATRTCAAGCAATTCAAAAAATAGACAATTATTTTTGAGATGCTTGAACACTTTTAGAAAATCATTTCTGGTGCATTCATCAACAAGTTGTTTTCAGGGAAAAAAATAAGAAAGCTTTGGAACACTGCTGAAAATACCTCACTTTTATGCGGATGCCTGCGRCAGCTTATGCATCACAGAAATTGCCTATTAAKGGAAGAGAAAAGGGAAAATGTTACTTACCAAAATACCAGCTAATCCAGTCATACCAGCMCCAAGCTCACASACATTKAGTCCCCTATAAAAATATAAACCATTCATTCACTTTCCTATATAAAACTACTAACATTGTTTTTTCTTTTGCCTAGTACCTTATGGTCAAATGACCATTACAAAGTAAACCAGTTAGAGGGAAAAGATAGCTTTTGAAGGAAGTAATAACATATAAATAAATAATAATCTTTATTCCTTACATGACTTGCTAGGAACAAACAAAAAACCATTTTATGGTCAGATAGACTGAATGAATGCATGGAAAAATGAATGGATGCATGAATGAATGAACAAGCTTATGGATAAAGAAAAACAGTTAAATGAATTGATGAATATAAAAAAACAGTCTTAACTAGTAAATGAAAAGATGATATACTGAGCAGATGTCTTTAACATGTGATAAACAATGCTCTAGTTTATACGTACTCATACTCTGWCATGTGCTTCAACATGTAATATGCAAGCACTTCTTCTGAAGGCCAAATACCTACAATCAATCAATAAAAATGTTATTCAGCCAATCTTTGATAACAACTTTGGCATCAAATCAATTTTGGAATTATTTGTTCATCATATCTACTGGTAAATATTTAAAATGTACAGATAACAGGATAATTCTGGAAAAATGAATAAAATTCGACCACAAATAACTGATAAAATCTCCATGTTACTTATTATGAAATACACTTGATGCACTTACATATGTTTCCAGTGTTGTCAAAACCTAACAGTTCATCTATTTGAAGATTAGCATTCTTTTTTCTGGAAGAGCAAAACACAAATGAAAATAAAAGACAAAATATGAAATAATTGTCTTTTGACACCAAATATTAGCTAGCCTTAACAAAAAAAGATAAAGACATAAATAATGTAAAGAAAGAACAGTAATAAAACTAAAATTATGGAAATATGGCAGAAATGGGAATTACAAATTTGTGCTGTTTTTATTATTATCAATATTATTATTCTATTATTTTTTCATATTTTATTTTTATTTTCAATTTATTTATTTATCTTTTTTTGGAAATGGATAGTCGTATGTGTATATGCAACCATAAAGGTAAATGTGTTTACAGCTGAACACCAAAAAAATTGGACATTTTCCAAAACATTTTTTACAAAACAACTTGGCTTAATTTTTGTTTCAAACAGCTGATAATCATTCAAAGTAGATTTTAAATATTTTTTGAGTGTTRTAAAAGCAACTTTTACGTCTACCAAATGACGTATAAAATGGGAAAAAATATTTTTAAGCTTTCATCCCAGTAAATCCATCAACATACGCAAAAGGCAAGTTACACAGGTGTACAGATTGTATGAGCTCATTTGCAAACACTTTGTGAGGTTTGATACCATTAAATATTCATATCTTTGTCGAACCAAATAATCGAAAACCTTCCTAATCTCGTTAGTGCAAATGATAAACTACGATTTAGGACATTTTGTATAAAGATCACCCGACCGAGATTTCAATACCTGACGGTGATTTCCACTCGAGGACACGATAAAATGCTCACGTTGCTCATATATTCAAAGGTCTGAAAGTCAGATTCGCTTGAATAGCAGTCTTTTTTTTCAACAGCCTTGAAGAAGCCAAACCCTGGAAATCTCCTGACTGAAACACGGTTTTTAAGAACGTCATTTTCGTTGTTATTTTTTGCTAGAACGTTGGCAAGGAACTTCCATCGCTCGCGCGCTTTCTTGGACTTCGGCATAGAATTTGACTCCATTTTTCATCTTTTAAAAGGATTATGCCGTGATTTTTCTGGATGAAGTGGAATTACAACAGCTTAATCCGGCGCTTAACAACCAATTTGACAAACATCAAGGGCTATTCCTCATATTTTCTTGTTTTTTGCCACTTTTATCTTCCCCYAAAGGTTGACCATTTGWAGCAGGAGTAGATGTTTTGGGATCCCTGTGGTTAGTATATTGCAAGGTATTATGGGTAATCAAATTATCTGTCAAGGGTGACCGACTATATTTCAGTAAATATTTCARTATAATTTTTGCGGATTATCGTCATGACATCTCCGGCTCCATTTCTTATTCGTCTGGTCTCAAGCTCCGTGGCAATCGCCAATCGTGCTGGCGTTCTCATAAGAGATGTTTTGAAAAAAGGAGAACTTGGAATTGTAAACAAGGTATTACTATTGAACGCAGTTGAGATGAAATTGATCCGACTGACGCTCGAGGGATCTTTTTTTGCAAGAAGCAAAAATGAAATGACCTCCTTGAAAATCGCTTATGAAATAAGGCAATTTGAGCGATCCAATATCTTAATAATGCGGTACATTTTTGCTGTTAATTTACAAATTATCTTCCATGGTGAGAGCAATTTTTTGAATATAAAGTATAAAACAAATACATAAACAGTGTAAAGCGTTGGTAGGCTTTTCCTTTGGCTTTGTTTGCATTACAAAAATGAGCGTGAAATATTATTAACCATTGTATTTAGAAAATTAATTTAGTGCAAGTTTTCGCTTGAAGCMTGTAGGGAGAGAACTARAAATGGATGAAAGAAGGACTTACTTATTTTTAAAAGTATGGTCAATAAGCATAAATAAGGTGGCCTGTCAATAATATGATAACATGCATGTCAGTAAGTAATGTTTTAAAGACATGAATTTAATTTCACCAGTTCAGTTTACATGTAATGACCAATTTCTTTTTTTAATCTTATAGTATATATTACTTGAGCATGAGTACAAGCTTCTAAAAAAWTTAACAACTAAGACACTAATGGAAATTTTTAAAYGCAATTGTACTATTTTGCTAGCCATGATGACCCTGCTCCACAGCTGTTACATTTAATGATCCTAACACGGGCAGCCCAAACTCATTGCCTGATATAAAAGGATGTATGGGACTCAATGTAGTCAAGTATAAATATACAACTTATAAATTTTGCAATTACTAGGCATTGTCACAGTCAATAGTAATCACTRGAGCGATTACCATTGTTTATGACAATACACGCAGTAAGTAATAGTAAAATTTATTATATATTTATGCTATATTTATGGTCATCTGTAGGTCCATTGTTATTCAAACTGCTGTCTTTCATTCAAAGCACACAGCTTCCTTTCAAGGAGATGTAGGTAGTATCAACAACATTAATTGCATGTTATGATAATTTTTTTCTAAGAGTGAAGATGTTACAAAGACATTTGATCCACAAACTGAAGCTGATAGGATTGCCCAAAAATGCATCATAGGATCTCTATTGAAAGAGTATCCTGATGTGAAGATAGTTGGTGAGGAAGAGGTAGGCTTAGCTAATGTTATATAGAAAACATAATTAATGTAGTCTGATAAACATTTGAAAAAAATGTCTTTGCTTTTGCAGGGTCTAGACATCAATGACTTGAGCGATGACCTTCTTGTGTCAAATCAAGACCCAAGTGTCCTAGAGCAAAAATGTCCAGAAAAAATGAAGGATATACAAGCTACAGATGTTAGTTGTTCAATTTAACGTTGCCCATGCATTTTGATGAAAAAAGAGTCATTTTGAGCGATTTTGGTGTGATAAACATTTGAAAAAAATGTCTTTGCTTTTGCAGGGTCTAGACATCAATGACTTGAGCGATGACCTTCTTGTGTCAAATCAAGACCCAAGTGTCCTAGAGCAAAAATGTCCAGAAAAAATGAAGGATATACAAGCTACAGATGTTAGTTGTTCAATTTAACGTTYACATGAATAAAACTATACTATTGTATCATAATGAACTGTAGTCATCCATTTTTACTAGAAAATGGATATAAAGAGAATTGAGCCTAGACAAAAATGTCTGACTTCAGCATTCATGAGTGCACATGCTAAATTAAATTCAGGAATTTCTGAGCTCAGAAATACAAAGTCACACAAGTGTGGTTTGTCAAGCTAAATGCTCACTCTACCTGTTTCAGTAGTATTTTGATAAAAATTCTCAATGTTCTTTTTATTAGGTTGTTATTTGGGTTGATCCTCTTGATGGAACTAGAGAATTTACTGAGGGTAAGCTTGGTAATATATTTAGGCATAGCCAAAAAATTGAGTATAGACTCAATGATGCTGGCAGGCAACATTATTATTTTAAGAATCCTATATTGACTAAATAATTGCAATATTTCTTTGCAGGTTTATATAACCACTCCACTGTCCTAATTGGAGTGTCATTTGCAGGCCGACCAGTTGCTGGTATAATACACCAACCATTTCATGGTCATGTCCATGGCACAAAGCTCAGTGATAATGAAAAATTAGGTCGTACCATATGGGGAATTCCAGGACTCGGTGCATTTGGATTCCTAACAAAGGCAGTGTCTCCTGGTCGAAGAATTATTACAACAACACGGTCACATTCTAATAAGTCGGTTGTTGACGCAATAGAGGCTATGAAGCCTGATGGAATTCTGCGTGTCGGGGGGTCAGGTAAGGCAAAAATTGGAATCTTAATGGTTCAAAAACTACTGGTATTATGGCAAAAATAGAGCAAATCAAAAAGTATATCTCCTTTGTCCAGGCTAACTGTGGTATCATTTTCCCAGGTCATAAAGTTGTCCTAGTACTAGAAGGTGATGCAGACGGATACATATTTGCAAGTGCTGGTTGCAAGCGTTGGGATACTTGTGCTGGAGAGGCCATCTTAGAAGCAATTGGTGGCAAATTGACTGATGTATTTGGCAATCMAGTTAATTATGATTTTGAAGCTGATGACTATGTCAATAGGTCTGGAGTAGTTGCATCGTTAAAAGATCATGATTTGTATATTGGAATGATACCAGATTCAGTCAAAGAAGGACTTAAAGTTAAATAGTCAAATTAAATTAAAAAAATTGTTACTAGGTAAAGTATAATTTCATGAACACATAAATAAGTAATGTGCTAATATATTAGATTTAATAGCCAGTATAAATAATTTMAAAGGAAAGGAATTTATTTAGTGAAAGGACATTTTCAAACTCATGTTATGATGCATGTCAGTCACACAATGGTTTGATAAACTACAACTGATTTAAGTCTAATAAATCATTAATAGTTATCAGCATTTGATGGTAAAATAGAAAAAGAAACAATGTGTAATTGTACATCATATGCTYAATTATGTTTTACTGGTTTATGAATACAAAAATATGCATTCAATGACTTAATTTGAAAGTTTACAAAGGATATATGTTTTACTGAGAAGATTGCATGTCTTCCATGCAAAGTCAAAACTAATATTTTACATTTTTGTAGTTAGTCTGCCACTACTGAAATCTCTATATGCAGGAAAATAAACTTTAAAATGTTACTGGTATGAATCTGTGTTTCAATGATTAGTGAATTTACCTGCTTCACTAAAAAACAAGTCACCCATGTTGTAATTATTATCATATTGCATAGAAAATAAAGTAAATATAAAATATGAAAGCCCTATTGGTATTCAAAAAGAAATATTTATTACTATGAAATTTTACAACAAATATTTCAAGTTTCCAAAGAAAAATTGTATTTTGTCTGAATTAGAGACAAATGTGGTAAACCTTCAACAATCAAAGTCACCACCAAATTAATACATCAAAGTAACATTAAATATATTTACAGATTTTATATAATAATTATTATTTATTATCATTTCATCATAATCTTCTCGGGACAAATCCCATTTAATGTTGTATAACATGACAACTCTACCAAGAAGATTCTGGCTGCATTGAAGACTCCAATTTATATATATCTGCTGTACATTTTGACTTTCTAGATGTTCTCGTGATAAGTAGAAAGTCTCAATAACTATGTTTTAACATAATTWGCATATTGTTTCATTAGTATTTAAAGCTTATTAAGCTTACAGTTCATATTGAGTTGAGTTTCCTCTTTGATGATCTTGTTCTGACCATATTGTCGTATTTTCCTGGGGAGTATCTCTTATTTGTATTCCTTAAATTGTACCCACTGCTTCGAGTTTTTGCCGGTGAATACTTCGTTTTCTTCTTCTTTGGAGTTTGTTCTTGCTCTGACTTCACTCTAGAGAAGCCGCATTCGCTAAATTTATGAAAATAAAAAATACCTTATAATCATTTGTAATAATGTGTCATTATTCCTTCACTTTTAAGCTTTAATATATAAGCTTATATTCGATTCAGCATTAAAAACTACAAAGACAACACATTGTTGCAGCACACAGCAGTCGTGGACTTTGAAATTTGATACACTGATTTCTCTATGTATGTACCTCAAATGATTGTCAAGCTCCCAAATCCACATCTCCGCTTCACAGCCACTGTTAGAACACTCAACAACACCTAACTGACGTTGAATGGCAATGTTGTCTTCGGGAATGCTTGGCTTAAACAACGGAAAAGCCGAATCCATTTGACATGTCGGACATTTTTCGAGTCCAATTCTTCGTATCCCARACGAGTTATAAAGGCAATTTTCACACAAACGATGTTGGCATAACCCAAATACCATTCGTAATCTTGGAGACCAACAGATTAGGCAGTTAAATCTCTGTTCAAAGGAGGAATATACATCGACTTCTTTCTTGTCTGCCATGTTATTTGATGATTCTTCCCGCCGTATGACTGAATCTACTGACCGAAGGGTTTTATTGGTCCATCCRTGTAATACTTGATTCTGATTGGTTGATTGGTTGCTTGGAGGGAAAACATCACAAGGTATTATGGGTAATTTTGTGATAATTTTTCCATTTACTATTTTTTCTCATTTATTCCTAATTTTTTTTTATAAAACAATTTTTATTTAATATTAATTGATTACATCCAGTTCTTTAATATATGTTTCGGATCTTTATTATCTTTTCTAAACACGTTTTGAAAGAAACCGCCGAATCCCGTCAAGCCTGTGAAAGCGTTCAAACGAGTTTTTTCGAATATTTTGCCCTTATCTTTACCCTTATATTTTTCTGTTTTGCTTTTCCATTTTCCAKGAGGATCCTTTATCGCGGTGTGTCCAACACGTCCTTGATTTTTTGTTTTCCGTCTCTTTTYTAATTCCTTGTGGCTAATCTTTTTTCATTTCCGTTTCATCAAAAAAACACTTATTTTCTTTTTGCCATTTTTAAGACATTACACAAGAAAGCTTAAATTTAAAGTTCGGTGCAGCATTTCGATATGATATCACTATTGGGCTCCCTGTGTGTCTATCGTTTTAGGCCTCAGTAGGGAGGGGTAGGTAGTATGAGATCATTTTCACCAAGATGGCGTCTGGGGACGTGGAAGACAGGACAATTTTRGAAGATTCAGAGAAACCTGCTTTTTCCAATGAAAGCTTTGTCTACCGAACATTTAAAAACACTGTTTCAGGAACTGTAGGAGGGGTAGCAGTATGTCTTGTAGGTCATCCTTTTGACACACTGAAAGTTCGCTTGCAAACTCAACCAGTAGACCGTCCTGTTTATAAGGGTTTGTCCGATTGCTTCTTCAAAACATTGAAATGGGAAGGCATTGGAGGTCTTTATAAAGGCGTGGGTTAGTATATAACAGTGTGTTTTGAATTGTTAGATTGTTATAAGTTGCAGACGCACTCATTTCTTGCAATGTTTACATTATGTCAGAGGTCTTGATATAAATGATACACAGGTTGAGGAAAATCTTCCTTTCTACTAACCATATGGTTTGCCTTAAAATTTTGTTAACAAGCTTTATTTTCGTAGCTTCTGATTGAACAATCCTTTTTCTATWTCTCTTTCAGGTTCCCCACTTGTTGGTCAAATGTTTTTCAGAGCCACTCTGTTCTCATCTTATTACCAGGTACCATAGCAGGGGGGACTCCTTGCAAAATAAAATGTTATAGTCTTCACTTTTATTAGACTAAACTAGATAATGACTCAAAGAAGAACTACAGAATCATAAAGGTGACCCACCCTGTTGTGAAAGCTACGTCACGTGACCTCTATTACAAGTTGTCCATTGTTAATTTTTTATAAGGAATATTACTATTTTGTTCATGATTAACATTCTTATAAGCCTTAAATAATATTTATCACTGTTTTTACGTAATCAATGGCATTGTTATTTTCCACAGATAACAACATTTTTTGCTGGCGAAGATCACTCACAAAGACTGACAGTCCCACAGTATTTTTTGTCTGGCTCTTTAACAGGTGTTGTAGCGGCACTGGTAGAGGGACCAATAGACTTGGTAAATATCAAGATTACCTGAGTACCAGGGCCCTTTAGCAGTTTTCTCAGTAGAAGCTGGCAGCTGGTGAAAATCACCAGTTATAGCTTAGTTAAAATTGCCGGCTACTTACAAATTTGTTCGCAAATTATTTGGCAATTCTTTTCCTATTTTGATGTCTACTTTTATTTCTTCTGAGAACCCTGTTTAGGGAAGGGACTGGGGAGGATTCCCTCTATTCTCTCTCCCCAAATCTCTTCTCAGTGTATATGCAACAGACTTTGGAGGAATCCCTTATTTCTCAATTTATATCAACCATTTAAATTTTAAACAAGGTATAGCGTATATATGATATGATATGAAAAGTTAGTCATGCCCACAAGCATGCATTTACCAAGAAATAAATCATGCAGTTAGACCAACCAGAGCATTTCTACTGTTACATCTATATTATAGAATATATTATGTAATTTTTCCATGCATCATATTTGTAATAGACAAACTTACCCTGATTATTTCAAATTTCAAGGTATTTCACTCAGAAAGCTTTTTCTTTCTTTTATTTTCAGTTCAAGTCTAAAATGCAAGTTCAGATTATCAGAGCTCAGGCTGGAGAACCCATGAAATACCGCAACGTCTTCCATGCTGCTTATGTAATAGCACAGAATCATGGTATACGAGGGTGTTATCAAGGATTATCTGCGACTTGGCTTAGGAATATACCAGCTAATGGCTGCTTCTTTGGTTTGTGAACTATATCAATATCTTAAGAATGATTTTAATTTTTCCAATCTGTGTACGTCTTAAGACGTCTTAACCAAAAAGCAATAAGAATGACAAAGAAGAGAAACTGACAATAGTTATTATTTTTTCAAAATTAATTGATGATATAAATAGTTATTTTTATTCTGAATTTTCATTAGCCATATTTATACTTTTAGGATTTTATGAAATTGCACGTACACTACAAACGCCAGAAGGAGGGACAGTCAAAGATGTGTCGCCACTTGGACTCCTTGTGTCTGGTGGATGTGGTGGATTCTTTTACTGGTTTCTTACCTACCCTACCGATGTCATTAAGTCATCAATGCAAGCAGATGATTCTGTTAAATCTAAACGAAAATTCAAAGGCATCACAGACTGTGCTAGAAAACTTTATTATGAACAAGGTGGAATTACCAGGTTTTATAAAGGTTTTACACCATGTTTAATGAGGTCAATTCCAGCCAATGCTGCCATGTTCTTTGTGGTTGAAACTATGAGGAAGTATTTCCCTCTTTGATTGTCTTCATTACCAATAGCAAAGAATGTAAAACCACATTTTAATAGTTTCAAAAACTAGTGATAAGTTAAACCTTTGGAATACTCCAGTTTTGAATTCTCTTTTGTGCAAGCTTAGCTTCAATCAAGTATAGATTTTAATTGTCATCTTGGTACATGGAGTGTTAGCCTGAGTTTCATCCAGGGTTTACTTGTAAGCTGATACATGCTTACGACATAAACCGGAAGTAACTTATGGATTGAAAAATATTCTTATTGAATTACAGAAGAAGCAAGAAAATGTCCTTTTCCTACAGACTAACAATTTTTCTTGAATTCAGGTGAAGGGAACTGATATTTGYCATTTAAACACCTCAAGGGCCCTTAGGCCWCATTTYCATTCCTTTGTTTYCTGTTGTTTTCAATTCACTTCCGGCCTATGTCATAAGCATCTATGAATGCAGGCTAACAAAGTGTTTGCATTGCAATAGGATCTCTGCTGAATAAAAGAATATACATATATCACATTCTATTAGGTTAAAGCTGCATAAATGAGATCTCAAAACTGGAGTATTTGACATGCAATTGCATTGGACTTGAATGTTATAACAATTCATAGGACAATTGCCAACCTTATTATGCACTTCATTTCATATACACATTTCTATTGAATTTAAACATTGTAAGATATCTTGTCAAAACTGGATAGATATTGAATGATCGCTAGGTGACTGGATAAATCAAGCCGAAGTAAAATAGCTGTGAATGTTGGGTGAATGGAAGTGTATGTGATCAGTGGCGGCACTTTAAGATTAGGATATTATTAATGGAATAATAATTATTATAGGTGTGGTACAAAATTGTGTATTATACAGCCTTTTGCAAAAATTTTGAGAATTATCTAAATATCTAAATATCCATATCCATATATTGTCCGGAACACGCGGCTTTGCTAGAATAATTCATTGTTGACATCAAGAAAATGTTCAGAACTACGGATTAGTCCGTCGCCCAAAAAAAAACAAACTAAACTACAAAGACTAGGGACTAAGGGCATCGCKCGGGATTACCCATCATGCACTCGATATTATGATATTTAGATATTTCGACAATTCTCATAATTTTTGCAAAAGGCTGTATATTGTAGGTAGATTAAATTTATGTATTTTATTAAATTTTTGTACTTTTTTATATTTTTGGGAATTATCTTGCCTCTTCTAGGTTAAAATGGGAAGGAAATTAAAAATCATYGACTGAAAGAAATGCTAAAAATATTAATTTGAATTTGAACCCAATTATGAAATTGTAAACTCTATAGAACGCTTTTTTATGTAAATTTCCCAATAAATCTTTAATAAAAAGTATTAATAATTTTAATTGCTGATATTTTTTTTTGACGCGTGATTCAAAAATATCGCAGACTCGCGTGTGTGCTTTCACGCGCTGCTGATATCTTAAAGAGCTGGCGCATCCCCAAAATCAGTCTTTTTCACAGGATTCCACATTCTTTGAGAATGGGAAACTGGTGTCTAGTTCCTTATTAAGAAATAAAGAAAAATTTTCCCATTCATCCCTAGAAGAAAACTGATTTGACACCAATCTGTTACAGAATGAAAATGAAGTCTTTATTGAAGGATCGTGAAATCTGCCTTAACGGTCACTATTCTTTTCGTCCAGTTTTTCCTAAAGACTTTCCGCAGGCCACTCCAATTGTCTAAGAATGTCTTTTTTTCCAGTACTCTTAATTATGTATTGTGATATTGGCGCTTTAAAGTTCAGCCGCCAGCCAATATGCTTACTGTCTGTCTCTGGGAATTTTTCGTTGGGGTTTTTTCCACTTTTTTCGGGTTTAAAATCATAGATTTCAAAAGCCCGCGTTGCTAGATCAGCAGTGGTATTCTTGACCTTGGCATTGGGTGGGATTTCGTCTCCAATCTCTTCAAGGCTCTGCTCGAGCTGAACAATGTAGTATAAGTTATCAGTTATAGTAGTGGTTGACAGTTAGGGACAAATCGCAGATGTTTCAAATTGCGCGAAAGTGTTTTTGAAGTTCTTATACCTGATCATAAGTTTCAGCAAAGAATCCCCATCTGTCTGGCCATTTTCTCTGCGCCACAATTTCCATTTGAACATGGTCTTTCCTACAAGAAAATTCGCTGAAATGATTTAAGTTCCATTTTCACAGGTAAAGTATTATAGACAAGAGACGGAGATGGAAGTCCTTTAAATAACGCAGACGTTCAAACGGTAAAGCAAGCAGAATAACAAATATAAAYCCCGGATAAAAACCTTCAATCCTCCACTTCTTCCGTCTTTTCTAGTTCACTATTGAACATGGGCTTTCGTAATGGTTTCATCGAATTTCATGAAAATTGCTCGCGCAACTTAAAATCTGAGGTTAATTGCTTGTGAATAAGTTAAAATGACCCACCAGATTTCATCGTTGTGCACAAAATTGCAAGCTTTTAGTGTACCACGTCCACCATACATTGCGTATTTGGAGTAACTAGTGGACTATACGCTAACTTTTTGAAGGACAATCCCTTACGTCACAATCAGTGCGTCAATTAGAATAATAATTAGAAATAATGATAATAAWGATGAAAAAGGGAAATCATGCTCCTTACTATTGATGGTACTCYTGCTCAGACCATACGGAATAAAGAGGATTAATAGTGAATATGAATGATTTTTAATCAGTCCACCTCGCTACAACGACCGCCCACATCCGGCCACCCATAAAGACCGTTCTGCTAAATGGTATTAAATAGAAATGAGAATCGATAAGGAGGCTGTCCAACGGGTGGCTTGTTTGAGGGTTGAATTTTTAAGTACATGTGATCAACTCGCTTGACCATGTCTAGCTCTTTTTAATTCAAAATTCTAACGTTATAGTCGTGACATACAATAAAATGAAGATAACTCAAAGACAAGACCTGGATTTCATGGGATTTAGTCGACTGGTTATCGATCTGTAGGCACGAGGTAAGGAAATACATTCATTTCGCTTAGTTAAAGTATACAAGTGCATTTTATGACCCTAATGTGAAAATCGATCTATTGATGCGAACAGTGAAATAATAACATTCAGGAGTTCACGAAATAAGATACAAGACAATACATATATATGATATGACAATTATTAGACATCGAAAAGAACATGATCCAATTAAACATTATTAATTTTCTAAGAAAAAGATGTAGAATTTTAGGTTTGACATTGTTTAAAACTGGATACGTCTTAATGCACTGATGATTCACTGAAGTGACTTCCGGGTGACAGCAATGGCAATAAAAGGATCTAAAGTGCTTTGTATATGTAGTTATTATAAACATAATTATTCGTGCGAAGTGATCGATCTTCGTCTCATATCCACTGATTGCTCAGCCAATCAAAGCAGTGTATCAAGTTTAGACGATTATACTAGTGCAGGCTGGAAAGACATCGATTTTCCCAGAAAATGCAATTGGATTTCCGATGCGGGAATTAAGTTGTTTAGCACATAATAATAGCCGTCTGGCGAAACATGTATACAGCTAAGAATTTGATATTTTGATATTTTGTGTTGTGTKTCAAACTTGTCTATAATCAATTACCATATAATTTCAGTGTGCTCATCACGATACGGTTATTGTTACAGAGCATGCGCGCTAAGGGAACTTAAATGACGGGTCATTATATATGTATTTTCTAACGATATGTAATGAATACAAGCGTGCTGTTGTTATAAGGGGGTATACTCTTGGGAATAGTAGCGTGAAGTATATATAAGTGAAATCAGTTAGTGTGAACCATCGAAGGTATCTCTAAACTCTAGTACGTAAAGTTTAAAGGAAATATAGGTCAGTGGTAATAGAAGCATATTGTTGTAAACCGTGACATAGCAGCATAACCAATAAAGAGATGCCAATTCCTGTATACTGTTGTTATGAATGTAATTTAGTTTGAAAATAATTTATATTCGGTCGAGAGTAGAATATAACCCACATGTCTGATTGCCTGATTCTTGGTGTTTCATGAATACTTTGTTTCTTTTCAGAATTGTTCAAAACAAAATGAGCGGTGAATGTACTCATTTCCAAAATGGCGATGTGCACTAGAAATAACTTGATGGTCTTACGTTCCCATAGAAACTATGATGAGCGTGATTGCTGTTGTATGCGCATGCGTTTTAATACTAACAACCGACACATTAGCAAAACAGCACAAGCCCGCCAAAAAGGCCATAGCTATCCAAGTAACTGAAGAAAGACACAGTGACTCATCTGAATTCAAAGTGGACTGGTGTCGACAGCGCATGAGTCGATATGACTACAAGTCGAGGCTGCAAAGCTGCTTGGATCAAATCCCATGGGAATCAGCTCAACAATCAAGTTTTCTTGACACGGATCCAGGATACACTTATATCAACTTGAATATCAAACCTGCAGGACATTACAGTAGAGCTATCATACACACTGTATCTAGACTCGGACAGAAGAAGACTATAGGAGGAGATGCYTTTAGGGTGCACATTCGAGGTCCAACTAGCTTAGCTGCTGACGTAATTGATCGTCATGATGGTAGCTATGAAGCTCTCTTCCTGGTAATGGTACCAGGGATTTATTCCATAACAGTGATAATGGACTATACCATGTGTAAAGGCATTAAAGAYCCACCGTTTGATTGGTTTGCAAGAGGTAAATTTGTATGAATAAAGTGTAAAACCTATAGATGACTAGTTTTTGATGCACTGACCGCCTTGAATATGCTTTCATTTTTTTACAAGGGTGTCTCCATGGCTCGTTCCAGCCCACTGACAGCCTCCACGAWCGTGTCTATGATTTCCTGGACCAGCCACTTATCCTGGCAAACGGATTGGAGTTTGAAGTGAAGCCATCTATGGCAATCTTCAATAGAGGTAATAAGAACAACACGGGCATAAACTGCATAATGCGGCCTTTCCCATGACACAGATGCGTGCTTGTTGCGTTTTGTATATTAATTTTCCTTGAAKAGGGAAARCAATGCAGAAACTGTACCGCGAAAACACTAWCGCTTGTAATTGCATATTTGTCTTGATTCGGTAGAGAATATTATTACATGCAAGCAAACAATTGTCCTGACAACCACTATAAATGTCCGAACACGCGCAATTAATGAAAATATMTAATACTTACAACATTTTTCATAGAATTAGAGAGCTTTAGAGATGCCGGTCATCTTGGTTGTAGGGATCGTTGCAATGTATTATGGGATGGATATGGAGCGTGGATYGGCGAGGATTGGGACCCCTATACACCAGGTAGGAYGCAGAGTCMTRTGTTGCAATCAGTGAAACACCAGRCTCACATTGTACATTTTCTCTCGTAATTTGTCCGTTCGTWMGTTCTACAATTGCGAAGCATTTTAGCTAATAAATAAGATTCCATAAYTTTGCTCTTGTCACAGTTTGCACTATTTTTTWAATTAAATAAACACTACTTTGTTTCCGTTTTATTTCAGGCGCAGCCCTCACCAACTCGGGTCATATTCAAGGCCAAGGTGTATTATGGGTATACGGCGACTCGTTAAATCGATATTTTTTCGAGTCAATTCGKAMTCGACCACTCTGCTCGCAAATCTTCAGAACTTGYTATTTCACCATGACATGGGTTTATATTCTAAGAAGCACAGCAAAAGTCGAAATGGACTTGCGTTACGGACACAAAAATATAAATATTCCAAGAATTCTTGAAGAGCTGAAAAGTGTCTTAGTCCGACCGGAAATGGACGAAAATAGCGCGCTTTTGTTGAATACTGGAGTTCATTTGTTAAAGAGCTCAAGTTTTTATAATTATCAGAAAATMATAAATGGGATGGTGTTGATTTTAAAGCAGTTTTACCGAGGAACTGTGATCTGGAAGACCACAACAAGTATTGGAGAACAGCAGCAGTTGTATAATGGATGCTTTAGAAGATTTCACACCGAGCAGGTACGATGATTTAGGGTGTGGTAGGGTAGGGGATAGTAGTACCCCTTGTATGCCGCAATGACTACCAGAACTGTTAAATTACGCAAAACGTAGGAAGTGTCAGTCCTTCACTTCTGTCAATCAAATTTGGTCCATCCCCTTCGCCAGAAATTCAGTCATTCAGTCACTGAATACGTCAGTCATGATGGTGGAAACTAGCGGTAAACTAGTGTGAGCTGCGTCGGTGTTTCTAAAGAAACAGCTGTGTTAAAAGATAAATTGAACACCGTAAAAAGTAGGTGAAACAACTTACTGACGTTTCGGACGTTAATCCTTCGTCGGATTAAAGAAAAGTCAGCCGGTCAGTCATTCAGTCAGTTAGTGTTAGGTAAAAACGTAAATRAAAACCAAGAGAATATCCAAGAGCTCACGATCTATCAATTTAATATTTAGTTGTACTTTTCTTCAGCGTGTCGATCTCTTCAACGCGTACGCCATGGCCGCAATGTGTCGAGCAGGATTCCTGGTTCTCGACGTGTATCCACTGACCAGCTCCTACCCTAAAGGCACAATCGACGGTGTTCATTACAACAACTCGGTGTTTGTTTCAGCTGAAGATATTCTAGAAGACTATTTTAGCACGTAGCTATGGTATCTTCAAATGTGGGTGAGCAATTACTAGAATCGCTTTATCTGTTTACACGGGTCCCGCGTGGCCCAGGCTTTCCAAGCCACTCCCCGAGTGTCCAATCTCCCTCGGGGWGGCCGGCGTGTTCATGTTTCTGCCCTACACACCCACCTGGTTTATTCTCGAATATMTTCCTTGTGTATCCCTAACCCAAGCCCTAGAAGTTGGTGTACTAAATGCACCGGAAACTCATTCAGCGCGAAAATTGAAATCATCCTTGCCCACTCTTTTGTATTCATTGATTKAATTATTTTTTCTCAAATTATTTCTAGAGACAGCATGAGGAGAATCCAACACAGTTTTCCTGCGTTAAATGAAATTAAAGGAAGATAAGGAAGCGTGTTCTTTAGTAATATGTATTATAGGTCACACCTGCACAGGAAGGCGCGCCGCCCTCTCCACAACAAGCGATAATGCCTTTGATGTGMAAGTTTATAATTCTAGCGATTTAAGATCCAAATACTGCCAAAAAATAGTACACTAAAGCTCTTTTGAAGCCCTTTTAAAGTCATTTGTTCTTAAAAGAACTAAAAAGGGACTACGCGGGAAATTTTTATGGGCTCGGAGTGTTTCTATGACTTAAAAGTTTAATTCGAGCACGCTTTTGAGTAACTAGGGCAGGTGGGGGACATCAAATATAATATACGGTTGCGTTTTCACATCGTTACGATGCGAGCAGACTAGACAATAGAAACAATACTCCACTCGTAGGGTGCCTTATATTCATTAGGTTATTTTCTGACTGTTGTTAAGTTTGATACTACAATGGGTTTTCGCATTTTTTTTAAGGAGTGTGAAGGGATGAAAATTTATATCGCAACTGGAATTTCCCAGAATTAGAGCTGGGACAACAAGATTCCTTAATTGTAACTGAAATTCTTTACAGGAGAAATGTGAATGATTTTTTTTTTTTTTTTTTTTACTGCGGGAATGAAAATTGGACCCCTTTCAGTATTCTTAAAATTTCAGTTTAATTATTTACATCGTGAATAATTCAGAAGTGTGCATACAAAGTCAAAACGAGTAGACTTGTGCTTAAATTTGATTCTATACCAATTTGAACTAGCCGAAGATAAGATATTTTTAGTAATCGCTAATAAAATGAAGCTAAGGCAAATAAGGTCACCACGTCAAGCAGATAGTAAAAGATTCGATATGAACGGAAAAGCAATATGTGAAAACTGGTCTAAAAGCCATAATATTGTGAATTTTGCCGGATTGGATAATTGATCTTTTGCGGGCTAATTTGGTTTTGAAGTTTCAGAATTCTCATTTATTTACACCTTGAGATGAAAACTCTCATTAATAAGTCAATATATGTTTWAAAAAATGTAAATATTCGTCCCTTGTTATGCTGAAGATTGTTTTAGAATGGTATAAATTCACGGTATGTATTCGTTTTTGAAACGACCAGATTGTAGATAAATTAAAAGGTGATAAACCACAGATAAAATAACAGAAAAATAAAATGACAGAAAATGAATAGTGAAATGACTGAATATACGAGAATGGTCTGCTTTTAGTGACGGGACAATTCCATACTATAAAATCGTTAATCATCATTGACATTCATCGAAAATAAAGGGAAAAAACCCACATATATGAATAATATTCTTTTAGAAATATTCCTCATGTCAAAATTATTATAAAAAAATGATTTTTTAGATTCTACGGTTGCAAAATATTTCAAAGAAAATTTCATATCAAAAAGAGTTTCCTGAAAAATGGGAAATATGAAAATTAGAAAAAAAGGTATAGAAACAAATAGAATTTCTAGAATCGAAACTKCTGAGTTCTATTGATAGACTTAAAACGTCCATCAGTGATTCAAGAAAGAGCCTCTACTTCAACACATCCCATCTTGTATTCCTTATACAATAAACATTATAATTTCAATTCCTAAAATTGTGTAARGCTCTAGGTTTCATGTCAAATTTGTTGGAGACCACTTGGTTGTCATGGAGATGACGTTCGAGCGAAGAGCGCTGCACCCAAACGGGAAAATATATTTAGACGTGATTTGCATTAAAAAGAGAGTCGCTCCCGGAGTCAGCCGATCGAAGGCGTCGGAGGGGAAATTAATTCTTATCGATAATTCAAACCAGCAATGCCCTTTTAATGTGAATGCATGGTTTTAAGTCTGGGAAGGACCAAAAAGTGCTATGTGAGTCTTTAGGTCTGTGCACCGACTGACCAAACGTTTTTCAGTGGTGTAACATGGAGAGAGGAAACCTTCGATTTGTTGTCTTAATCATCGTYTACGTCTTCTACTTGGTTATTGGAGCAGCAATTTTCTCATCGATTGAAGGACCTTTTGAGAAACGAGTTGTTAGCGATGTTCGATCAAAAAGAGAAGCATTCCTCGCAAAGTATCCGTGTGTGAACGATTTAGATCTYGAAGAGTTCATCAAAGTGGTCGTTAGAGCTCGCGATCAAGGAATTTCACCCATGCGGAATGTAACAATACCTAGYTGGGARTTTGGTAGTGCTTTTTTCTTTGCTGGTACGGTAATAACAACCATAGGTAAGTCTGAATTATGAATGTTTTACTGTTCGAAAAAGTACCGCGTTGTACTGGTTGATCCGATACGCTTCACTGCTCATTGTCTTTGCGTCAAAAATACACGTCCTCAACACCAGAAAGTACATTATGTAAACTGAAAAAGCACACGTTCTTTCGTTTTCCAAGTAAATACATCTCTCTCAACCAGGCATTTTAGTAAATCGAATTCGATGCTGCATGAAGCAATCTGAAACAAGATTGACACTTTATTCGACCRCGAAATGGCTTCTTCTGACTCACCATTTTTCGCGGTCGAAAAGTTGAATAAGTATGCATCAAAAGACAGTGTTTTTCACTTGAAAAAAATACACTTCGCCTAAGTRGAGAAAMAGTCCATTGAATYTGAGGTTAGGTTTGACCGTTGCGGTTCAAACCGCCAAGTTTATCKTCAGTTTCTGTTACAAAAATAGACCGATGTTCTCTTGACTATGCTTCACTTAATCACGCCATATGCATACAGCGTTTCGCTTCTTGACTTTCACTAAATTTTCAATGTATTATAGTTCTTTACATTAATGATGATTTCAAAGTTCTTTTTGAGACTCTGATTTGTCGTGATTCTGGAGTTGGAGCGATAAACGAATGATCTTGCTTTGTAAATATTTGTGTAAAAAYAAACGCTCAAAGTGAAAAATATGTACCGCTGTATGTTATTTTGTGTCTAGAAAAGCGTGTCATTTTATGCCTATAAGTCTTCATTTCAAGGGAAGTGGTTTATAATCTATTGACGTTTCAATGTCTCTTATAATCCTTAAGCTTTCGTCGTTTAATCTCTCTTTTCAATGTGAAATTTTAAACGCTTTTTGAACGACAGAAATTTCTTATAATTTGCATAAATCTTGTTTGTCAGCTGCAAAAAATGTGAACTCTTTCTGCGATGAATTTTGCTTTGAAGCTAGCAATTCCACAACTTCGGTATTTATTAATGCCCAAATTTAATAACAATAATCACTAAAGACGGTTTCTTTAGGGTGAAAATTCATAGAATAACAACCCTTTGTYWWTAACCAARTGCAAAACTATTCTCCAACCAAAATCAAGCTTTCTRTCCATGTTTCATCTCCGGGACAAATTGAAAAGCTAATATCACGAAGCGTTGGCGGCTTCTCGTAGGTTGTTGTATAGTTTTTCAGTKGGCAGGTGGAATGACTGGTGGCGTATTTKTCTCAAACAATCAATTATCARGCCTTTATTTCGTCAGTCTACTCTTGAAAACGCCAAAACATGTCTAAAACGAAAGACTGGATGAATTTAGAACTGTAGATACTAAATTTGACTCGTATTCAAAATAACGACGCGTGTTCTATTGACGAAGGGTGCGTTAATTAATATTCCCATTTTTTACATTTGGATGCAACAAGAGGTATTTTTTTAAGGTTGCACTTTGATATCACGTGCTGTGAGTGTATTGCTGCTGTTTTTTATTTTGTGCTCGAACATCACGGCGCTTTATGTGACAAGCATTTTTAATGCTACATCAATACGTCATAGTCACTAGTAATCATTCATCATTAATCATCTATATGACATTAACCTAATTATAGATCTAAACAACATGACTATTGCCACATAATTTCTTCAATGAATGTTGCTCGTGTACTGCTCTTATCAACGTACATGTGCTCATTTTTTACAGCGTTTTGAGTAGTAGGTTTAATCAAAAATWTTTGACCTGTCAATCAATCTCTGTTCAGTTATTTAACTATACAGAAGGTGTTAATGTTCGACGTGTGTTTAAGCACCTCGGATACTATAACCAAATTTCGATGACCTCGCGTCGCAATAATTCACTTACAAATTATCGAGAAGAAAAAACTAAATATTTTATTATGTTTTAGGTTATGGAAACATCGCTCCTCTTTCAAGCGGTGGTAAAATTTTCTGTATTGTCTACGCTTTATTTGGTATTCCAATGACGGCCATTATGCTTACAGCCATTGTAGAGAGACTTCTTCTAGTCGCTGAAGCCATTCAAGAACGCCTTAGTCGGTCATGCGCAGTACGGGGTGTCCCAGTAGGCTATCTGCGCATGTTCCACCTTTCCCTTATGATGTTAGTGATTTTGTTCTTGGTAATGTTTCTTCCTGCCATTTTGTTCATGCAACTAGAGAACTGGTCATACTTCGAAGCGTTTTATTTTTGCTTCATCTCCTTGACAACGATAGGTCTCGGGGATTTTGTACCGGGTGATGACCCGGTCTGGCAAAAGAGCAACTATAGGGCACTCTACAAAGTATGTAGCGTGCTTTTCTTCGTGATTGGGATCTCCTTCTTGATCCTGATTCTTGAACTGTGTGCTAAAGTCCCGGATGACCATCCCGGCATGTTGTTCTCGTGTCATCAACCGTTTCTCAAGGATGAAGAGACGGACTGGACCCCATTAAAGGGAGATATGGTTCGTGAGGCTGTGAAGCCAACTGGAAGCAGTAAAAACACTTATAAAAGACTAGGGGAGTCATCTGAAGATAACTCAGGCACGTGATACCTGAGTGGTACCAACATGATACATTGTATAGTGCCAAAATAATCGCCCTAAAATGCGTTTTGCATTGTAGTTTATTTCCTTGAATATAACAAAAAAACGTGTTATGGGGCGATTCAGAAACTAGGCCTAACATGGCAGCCCTTAAGAAAGCTGTCAAGCTGAAAGGTTTTCTAGGTTTTTTAAAATGTGATGCATTCTCAAATGTGTAAAAAATTATTAACTTCCCTAAGAAATTTGTGAATGGATCCATCCGGCCTGGGTCAACAGCTGTAAGCGATGTTAACCGACAAGTGCAATTATCAGTTTACACTTTTGCAACCTGAGCAGGTCATTTTCGATCGTGACATTTTCATTCTTTGATTTTCAGATTTTCATTTTCAGCTATACAGCCTTTTCAAKACTTGCTATATTTAAATTTCTTCAAATTCAGAATGTCAATGCTTGCCTCACAAAAACCGCGATATACAGAATAGTGCCATTACGTTAGTTCCTCAACACAAAGATTTAATTCATTCCTATTGCTATTCTTCGTTTTCACTATATGTCACACAGCGGTCATCTTGGAGGAACTTCTCGGAACTTTAACAAAGGATTTCTCATTAGTATCTATTGTTCATTACTCCAACATGGCCACTGGTCCGCTATCTTTTGAATTTCGATCATGGGAAAGCAGTAAAAACGAACAATATTATTATATAGTAAATGTAAACTAGACGTCGCGTCTTGACACGCGCTTAYCATACTTGATCGACAAGTGATGAGTTTGACATTTCGCCTTCAGCTTCGTGAGCTAAGYCACAAAAAATGAGCAAGTGGCGACCATGCATTTTGTAAATAGCCAATAATGAAGAGGGAAGTCCGTTCCCCCTTTGAACGAAAAAGGATWTTAAATGACAATCGTGCRCGAGTAGGGGATTATTAGTAAACAAATTGATTTGGTGGCTGGAAACACCAAGAATTTTATTTATATTAAGTTTTAAGGTGACTAAAAGAAAAATTGTAATTTTCCTTRCCGTCGACAAGGTGCGTCTTTGCGGGATATCTTWAATACAACTAAACACTAATGAATGTCACTTATCACTAGACACCTGTTCTCTGATACACTTCCATTATATCTGATGAAAATCTTTAAAAAAACTGCTTCAAGACGCATCTCAAATCGACATAAAGTTCTCTTGAATAAATGGGTATAAGGGTTTTTTAATAAAAGTGCAATATGTGCCAACTTGTGCTGTCTTACTTACTCGTGAACAAGAAAAACATTTCAACAAWGGCTTCAAATTAACTTGAGATAACTAGCCATTCTGTATAAATCATTTTATTTCTCAACCTTCAACCCCGGGAGCCTTCAACATTGCATAACATTTTTCGCGCGGTATTATTATAATAATTATGCAATAACTAATAATAATCATAATTATATAGAATAATTATAGAATACCTAATAATTTATGATTTCTTCCTGCTCAGTAAAGATTTCAAAATGGCGGCCATTCAGTGGCAGCCATCTTGAATAATWTTGATTAGAATGTTTATAAAACATCCAGGRAGCACGACAAACACGGCAGAAGAAAATAAATCAAAAGCAATAACTAACAAACGAAACAAAGTAATTCTAAGGTCAGTTAATAAAGCTTACTTATATATTTCGTGAACAAAAGCCCTTGAAATGACAATTTAATAGTCGACAAGGAGTCTTTGGATTCCGCGGACAAATTTTTGTTTAGAGCGCGAGAATATTTTTTTTTAGAAAATGGAAAAAATTCGTCTCCATTTGTAATACTCTTTTCGAAAATCCTATCAGCTTGAATTTCTCTTGTAATTTAAGTTTCTTGTAATTCAAGTTTTGAAATTCTTATGAATATTTAAGTTTCAAAACAAGTCTTTTAAAAGTTAGCATTTTCATGCAAATCTTTATGACTGACTTTAAATCATGCACACTACATTCAGATTTGATCTCAGTTTTCTGTGKTAACTGAAAAACATTAARGATAAAAAAATGACTGCTTGGAATTTCTTATTATTGAGCTCACTATGAGCAGTGTTAAAAACTTTGGAAAAACTCATTTATGAATTTGTTCTGTAAAATTACAAATGGCAATTTTTTATAAAGTAATCATACATTTTGTAGCTTAATACAAATGTTTAACACGGTAAATTTTACTGGATTTTTGCCCAGTTTCCCATGCACGGTAACAATTATTTAATTATGTTTATAATAAACTTTTCTGTTGAAATAATTAGCTAATACCCTGCGGCTTCTACGCCACCTCGAAATATCTACAAAAGCCTTTCCTATTTTTCCCGCCAACTGAAAGTAAACGCGGGCGCGTACACATCCAAGTACGCCAAAAGGAAACCGAGTTCAATAAGAATCATAACAATTACTGCACCCTTTTCATTGTATTACTTCTCTATACTTAATTACTTAAACGCAAATTTCAGAYTATTTAAAATTTTGAGCATYTGCTCATCGTTTTGAGCATTTCTTGGCTTCATTTGGAGAGAAAAGAAGCCAAAATTATCGATAACTATGCTCTTGCATYTCTATCGACATGCAACCATCACCSATACTGGCCTTAAAGCGATTTATCGCATATCGAATGCGATTTTTCCGTACTTTTATCWAGCTCTCTGYCAGTTTTCCACGATAAGCTAGCCGTCTCGAATCGRGCTAGGACTTGTGGCGCTTTCTGCTTTGATTATTGCCGCTTGTCAGGCAGTATACTAGGAGCCAAGTAAATCTGCTGTTGGAGGATCTACTTTTGAAGTATTGGAGGGAGACGCAGTGTTTAGAGAGTTCATCGTGTCAAAATCTTGCATCCAAAAGTCTAAAGAAAAAATAAAGGTGTGTTCTTTCAGACTTTTTATTAAAAATTACGTATACCATCCTAAACCTGTGGAAACTAGCGGTATTAAGTGTACTTGTTGACTTGAATTAATGTCGTCTGACTCACGATTGTGGAAAGGCTTTGGCGCAATCAGTTTTTATACTCAATTTTAATCCGCCAAAACTCACAGGCAAGACATACCTTATTGCAACAGCAAAAGCCTGGGACCCACCCCTCCACGAAAAAAAAACAAAACATAACAACAATGTAATTAACACAGCGTTCAGTACCCAAAGTTAGTGTTGGTAGAGATTTTGTTTGGTTGCTTGTTGTTTGAAAAAGCTAAAAATAGTCTATAAATTCAACCAAAAAACTGTTTTCATACCATCATCGTTCTGGTGTTTATTGATCAGTCCTGCTGCTTCATAGCGACTATTGGACAACAAGGCATCCAGCTCACTCTCGTAAAAGTGAGTCTTGTGCTCTTTATCTGCAAA